AAGAACTTACCCAAGGTCACACTGGGTGTTAATCTTCAAGCTGGAATTTGAATACAGGTTTTTGTGTCTCCAAGCACATGCTGTTTCTAAGGGTGACCTCAAAGTTGTGGATAGTGTAATAGAGGGCCAGATGTTTTACAATTTTAAAAAAGAAAAAGAGGAAAAGCAAGGCCAGGTTCCCCACCTTCAAGGAGCTGACAGGCTAGAAAAATAAAAATGAAGTAACCTGAAACCGGAGAGTGCCATTACATAATCTGCTCCCTGGTAACAGCTACAAGCAGGAAAGAGAAGTGTGGCTTTGTATAAGAAGTAGGGCTTGAAGTGGAAATGTTAACTTAGGATGAGCAGAGAAGCAGCAGGAAGTGGGCTTTTCAGGTAGAGGTGCTAGTGAAAGCAAAGGAGTAACACAGACAGAAAGACATCAACTCAACTCCTAGGAAAGCATCCCAGTTCGGGAGTAGCAGAAGAGAAAGCTCGATATATAAGGACCACAGTTGATAGGGAATGGGGGTTGTCAACTATAAACAAATCATTAGGAGTTTGATCAGGAGTCTTGGGAGCATCCTTTGCCCAACATCCCCTGACTCTATCGTTTTTTATAAAAAATGTTTCAGGCTAATAGTCTCATTTACTTAAAGTCAACAACATTAAGTGCTTCTTAGATAGTAATACTGCTTCCTGCTTAAGCAAAAAGCCTGTAAGTTAATTCAGCCTGGGAGTAACGACAAAGATTTATTATTTATCTCCCAGCAGTTTTGAAGCCTCCCTGAAATATAAGGCCACACTCTTTAAATGCCCCTAGAAAGTTATCCTATTTCACTAGAGTGCATTTGTGTATAGAGTATAACATATCAGGTTTGAAAATTTCAGGATGAAGAAGGCACCTTCTGAGACAAGGCCACTGAGATATGGAAAGCAAGCAACCCACCTCACCCCACCTCAAAATCTACCCCCTCGCCCCTCCCCCCGTCCTCAGCTGACACCTTGGCCGAAGGAGCCTGTGTGTTGCAGTTGATCAGACTGAAATTCCTACCAAGTTGGCCATGTCAGTTTCACCTGTCAGCATCTCTGATGAGGAGGGATCCTGACAAACCAGACTGGTTTAGATAATTGGATTATAGCAGTTGTCTTCATCTTAGTAAGCTGACTAACTACTATAGACAGACGTTTACAGAGGAGAAATTTATAGACAATCCTAAAGTGGAGATTCGAGGAAGTGCTTAGACGACTGGGAAGCAGCAGGCTTTAGTGAGTCCAACATATTGTGATGTGGTGGGGAGCTGTGACCCCTCTCTTCAAGGGGCTCCTAAAAGGATAGCAAAGGGTATTCATGTAGTTTCACCAGTCATTGCGTATGTGACTTTGCGGATTAACTCACTTAGTCCTCACAACAATCCCATGAGGTCCTGATATTCCTTGTGCTTTGCAGATAAGGAGATGTTTGCAGATAAGGAGATGTTTGCAGATAAGGAGGCCAAATTACAGAGAGGTTCAGTACTTTCCCAAGGTCACATCCTAGTAAGATATGCTCGGTTAATGTTCTTACCCTGTAGTCTGTTCACTGGGAGAATATTGGAACCCATCTGTAAAGTTGCCTTGGGACACTTCCTCATGGTCAGGCCTCCCTCTACACTTCCCCCACCTCCACCTGTGCTTATCTCTAGCACTGCCCTTAGATGTTTCCATGTCTGCTTACCCTACTTGGGTGTGAGCTTCCAGGGAAGGATCCCAGAATTCCTCACCCTTAATCAGTAGCAGGTGCTGTGTAAACGTGTGTTGTACCGAAGTGGAGGTGAAATTGACAGGGAATTTGTCGTCTCCCTGGAGCTGGCCGAGCAGACCGGTTACCCAGGGCGCCAGCCACTGAAGCAAGGGTGCTGCTGTGATGGATGTGGACGGAAAGCCCATAGCAGGTAAAATCCGACCCAAGACCACCTAGTTCTTAGCTCTGTCTCTGAAAACAGCTTTCCCTGTTCACACTAGCACTCACTCCAGACGGTCCCCGTGCTTCTCAGTTACTCTCTCTTTTTCAAAGATGAGCTCCCCATCCTCAGTGTCGGTTCCGTTACTGAACAACTCGATATATAACCTGAGACACGAGGTCTAGACCTCTCTGGGCCTCAGATTCCTCATCTTTGCACTGAAAGAATTAGGTTCTGGTCTTCAAACAGTTTAAAGTAGCGGATCATTTGGGAGCACACTGTACAAAACAGATAGACGCTGAGCCGTGTCTTCCTGCTCACCGTGTCACGCCCTCCCTTTCCCCATGGCAAGGTGTGACCCCTTAGAGGGTCTCAACTGAACATAAGAAGCACTGGACTCGATCGCTTCAGAGGCAGTAACCCAGAATATATTCAGGTAATGAACACGAATACGTAATAGTATTGTACAATAACAAAATAGCTTCAAAATGGAAGACCCAAGCCACTGAGGAAGGCGGGTTCGAGGGCTCCTGGCTGGACCCCTGCGCCTGCTCGTCTGTCAGATGCCATGTGCTCCTGGAGGACTTGTCGGCTTGGCCTGATCGGGTACAGTGGGTTGGGGAAGCTAAAGGCTCTGGGCCCCATCCTCCTTGGCGGGGAACAGACCGCGCGCGTGTCGTGGAATTGTATCCAGCCACTCTTGGAGACTGATTTTCCATCTGAGGATCTGACCTCTTGCTTCACCAGCAGAGGGGGTCAGACCATCCTGGGGGGGAGGTCAGTGAGCTAGCCCCCTGAAAGGCCTTCCCTTTCTTTCTCTTTCTTTCTTTCTTAACTGTCTGTTTCAAAGGGAATTTCCGATTACTCTGGGGGCTTAACACCACCGGTTTGAATCTCTCTTGGCATTGAGAGCTTTGAGATAGCCATATCCCCCCCCATCAGTGCTTTGTGCTAGGAGATTACTAAAGATTTAATTCCATTTATGTCATTGGATTTATTTCAAAAAAAATCCAAAAACCTTTTGGAGTCAGGGATGAATGCCCCGTTTCCTTTATTTGTTGTCAGTTTTCACAGATTCCTTATGTGAATGCCTCAAGGGTAAAAATCTTGCCTTAGTTATTTCCGTATCTCCAGCGCCTAACACAAAGACTGACGTTGACTGCTTGATAAATATTTGTACATCATTCAACAACTATACCCCCAGGTACAGTGATGTGTGAAATAACCATTGTACTAATTTTCATCACATTTACAGTCGAGTGTAAGAGACAGTTAAATACAAATAAGTATATAGTGTATGTTGGGTTAAGGGCTGTAAAGAACAAAGAACAGTTTCAGTGGAAGAACAAATTTGAATGATTGATGAATGAATGAAAGTAAAACGACCTCAGCTGCCAACCCAAAAGCTGTCTCATCTCATCTCTTTGTAAGTAATTATTATTGCTATTATTTTACTTATCACAACTGCTACCACTTCTTGAGTATCCACCACGTTCCAAGCTCTGTGCTAGCATCTTCCTATTTGGTACATCAGATTCTCAGAAGAACCTTGCTGTTTAGGCCTTCTTATCCCTTATTCCAGATGAAAAAATAAGGCCCAAGGAAGGTAATTAACTTGTTTATGGTAAGAGAGCTAGTAAGTGTCAGAGATGAAGCCAGGTTGGTCTGACAGAGCCTTTGCATTAAGCAAAACGGAAAAAATTCCAAAGGTTATCACCAGGGATCCAACAGGGTGTCCCCGTTTGAGGAACACCACCTCCTACCTTGTTACAAAAGATCAATGATGTTAGGTGAGAGGAGGAAACAAAGAGAAAAATCTATGCTGGAGAGTGAGAGGGAAAAGAAGGAAGATAGTATTCTTGAATTGGCCATCTTATCAGCCTAGCAATAATAAACCATCACCATGGGAACAGGAACTCTAATTAATGACAGATGTTGAGTCACTTTAAAAACCACACCATCTGAATGCCGAGCTGGTGCCGTAACCCTCTCTCCCCTGCCGCAGCTGGGAGCATGCTATGAACTTGTTGGAGAGACCCATCTTTCGTGGGTGGAGCAAACTCTGGACTTGGCATCAGAAGACTTACATTTGAGCCCCAAATCTGCCTTTCTGAGCTCTTTTGCATTGAACAATAAGCTCACCAAAATTGAGAGGTGGCTATCATTAATTTTGTCATTATTATTATTACTAGTAGTAATAGTAGCTTTCTGAGACTCAATTTCAAGATCTATATAATAGTAAGTAATATCATTTCATCAGTTACTGCAAGAAGTACACTTACAGCAATGCCTGGCATAGACAGTGTGCCATCGTATTTAACCATGGTGATGCTGATGCTGGAGGAGAAAAAGAGGAAGGGGGAAGAGAAAGAAGAGCAGTTGCAATGATGTACGTGCATAGAGCTATGAAGTCTCTGAGGTGTGATACAAATGAGGGCATTCTACTCATTGTCAAAATATTTTTGGTCAGTTCCTGGGCTGGTAGCCCATTCCTATGTTTAGTTTTCTCAAAGGTTCTATTGTCTGTGTTGCCTTTTTGTCCGGCCCAATATGCATGTCTCTCCTGCTTCCGGCTGTGCAGTTTAACTGGGGGGAAGGACAACCAGGACAAAGAATTGACAGAAACCATGAGAAAAATTTACTCAGAGCCCAAGTTCTCTATAGGCCAGGATTTTCCAAAGGGTGTTCTTTCATACATTAGAAGGTATTCCTGGAAAGAATTCATTTGGAAAATGCTACGCTCAAGTTAACTAGGTATCTTTATAGCGAGACTTTGCATAAACCTTTAATATATAAACTTGTGTTGTGAATCTCCCGGGTTGGGGAGGCATTTAGAATATAGACTTTCATAAATTTACTTGACCAAAGAATTAGTCTTTCATGGAGCATCTTACTTTGCTAAAGGACCAAACATTGGGAAATGCTGCCATAAGCCGAGGGTCAGACCATCAGGTGTACAAGTAGTACCACATAAACAAGTTTGAAAACCTCCACCAATCTTCCCATCAATTCATGTGTCTATTTAACAAACTAAAAGAGCACCCGTGCTATATTTGGCAGTGACTACGTGCTAGATGGTGGAGAAGCAACAGCAAGATCCATGTATTTCCCACTCTTACCCTCTCGGAGCTCTTGCGTGCCTATTGAGGTGAGGGAGAAATTGCCTAGCGGTAGCAATGCAGTGTGACAGTGAACAGATGGAGATCCCAGGGTGGCATGGTACCAAGGGAGGGGCTTCTTATCCAACTGAGTGGGTCAGGAAAAGTTTCCTGGAGGAAGGAACTTCCAACCTGAGATCCAAAGAACAATTAGAGCTCTGTAACACATTGTCAGTGCACTTTCCCACGTGTTGTCACAGTGCATCCTCACAGCAGCCCTCCGGGTCAGACACAATGAGTGGTAAAAGGAAAGTCGTTAAGTGCTGCTTAATGAGCTCCTACTACAGGTTAGGGGCTGTTCTAGGCATTTTATACACTTACTGCATTTAATCTTCCCAACAATGAGTGGCCTCAGTTTACGGATGAAAAATTAAGGCTCAGCTTAAAGTAGCACAAAGCTGCACGTGTAATTTGTATAAAACGAGGATTGAACTCAGAACTACACGATTCCAAAGCCACCTCCCATTGCATCTTCCACCAGTGATGAGCCCAGCCAGTGGTTAATCCATGACAGAGTTTATACCAGAATGAGAAATGTAGAAAAGTAAGCAGAGCATCATAAATGTTTTCTTCCTAAATGATTTATGTTGTCCTGAGAAGTACCCTGGTCCCAAATGTTTGGTGTAGAAAGTCCTATGCTTTTTTTTTTTTTTTTTTTTAATATTACCTTGTATGAGAAAACCTTTTTTATTTTGAGTTCTTATTTGGCAAAATAAAAACTCGCTAACCATATGCCATTCTCCAAAGTAATTTTGGAAGTATTAGTGTCCATGAAATTTAAAAATCTTGGAAATATTCTGTATGTATTTTATTGAACATACGCATTCTAAAGATGAGAGGAATATGAAGCCTCACATTGCTTTGGGTCTGCTGGTTGGAACTTGGATGAGTTACTAAACTCCACAGACTCAGGTGTCCAGCGGCCATAAATGGATACAAAGTAGAATAATGTGGCATCTCCCTAAATGCACACATATGCCACCGGTGGCACTCAGGATGACTTTAGCTGGCATGTGGACACTCTTTCTAATAGTTATATATTGATTTTAATGTATATTAGAAAAAAGGTAACCAACACTGTACCTATGTTTTCATAGACATTTCTGCTTAGAACAAGGCAGTTTGAAAAAAGAACAGGGAATTTATTTGGAATTTAGAAAAAGTATTACATGTATAATACTACAGATGGTACTTGGATATGGAAACAATTATGAAGATGGTATGTGAGTAACTAAAATGTGTGAAATAATAAGATAACATGTGTGAAAGTGTCTCATGCATAGAAGGCCCCAGTAAACGCTTCCTTCCTTTCTGATTCATCTGGCCAGCAAGGGACAGAGCGCAGGACTAACCCTCATAGCCTCAGACTCCCAGTCCAGTGCTCCTTCCAGGACACCTTTAACTCTACTGCTTCCTATCTGCCTGCCTCACCCAGCATCCTACCCCTCGCCACTCATCCCTCAGGAAAAATGCAGTGAGTAGGTATTTCAGAAGTGACTAGTTGGCTCTGCCAAAATGTTCTGATGAATGTCAATAATAAATAAAGTCTACCTAACAGCATAGACAGTGTTAGCGTTTGGAAAAACAGGAATTGGATCCTGAGAATGGAAAGGGCCCTCAGAGATCATCTCACCCAACCCTGCCTTTTACGGATGTGGAAGTTGGGACTCAGGGAGGGAAAGTGCTTTGTTCAGAGCTCTTAGCTGATCAAACCAGGATGAGGATTCATATAAAACGTGCAGATATAAAATGTTACTTTTTTTTTTTTTTAAAAGACCTGTTTCCTGCTTTCCAGAAAAGTAGCAGGGAGGTACCACAAAAGGACTTTTACTTCCACAAATCTAAAAATGTGGAAAGTCATGCTTCATACTGCGCCCATCAAGAAAACATTGTAAATGATCACTGGAGAAGGCATTCCTGGTCGTATTCTTTTGTCTGTTTGCTTGCTTGTCTGTTTTAATTGTAAAGTACACGACATAAAATTTACCATTTTTGCGTGCCCAGTTTAGTAGTATTAAGTATTATTCACATTACTGTGCAACCAGTATCCAGAACTCTTTTCATCTTGCAAAACTGAAACTCTGACCCATGAAACAACAGTTCCCCATCTCCCTCCCCTCCAGATTCTGACAACCACCATTCTGCTTTCTGTCTCTATGAATTTGACTACTCTTGGTACCTGATATAAGTGCCGTGATATAGTGTTTCTCTTTTTTTTTTTTTTTTTGCGGTACGCGGGCCTCTCACTGTTGTGGCCTCTCCCGTTGCGGAGCAACAGGCTCCGGACGCGCAGGTTCAGTGACCATGGCTCGTGGGCGCAGCCGCTCCGCGGCATGTGGGATCCTCCCGGACCGGGGCACGAACCCGTGTCCCCTGCATCGGCAGGCAGACTCTCAACCACTGTGCCACCAGGGAAGCCCAGTGTTTGTCTTTTTTGTGACTGGCTTATTTCACTTAGCATAATGTCCTCAAGGGTCATATCCATAGGCGCATGTGTCAGAATTTCCTCCCTTCCTGGTTGTTTCCTTGATGCGACACAGCCTGTTCTCTGTGGTCCCCATTTGTACGTATCATCACTGTGAAGACTTTGGCACGCTTAATATTTTAGTGACTTCTCTCCAGTGGGGAAATATTGGATTGGCCAAAAAGTTCATTCAGATGGAAAAGCCCGAACGAACTTTTTGGCCAGCCCAATATCCCCGTTGGGGATGACAGCAGCAGTGAAAAGCGATGTCGGAAAAGAACTGAAACCCCCTTCTCCCAGTCTTTTCTAAGTAGGTGACAAGGGAGAGAAATGAGATTGCATGCTGCATGCCCCCACCCTCACCCCCAATTTCCTTCATTGCTTCCACCGCAAGTCTTCAGTCAGCCGCAGAAGAGCAGTGGGGCAGTGGGGTTAGTGGTTTCAAAAGTGGATTTTCACGAATAGGCTTGCGTTCCAGTCTAACCTCTGTAACTTACTAAATCTAGGATGTTGGATAATACGATTAAGCTCTCAAAGCCTCATTTCTATTATCTGTGAATGGACAGAATAATACCTGTATCCAAATTTTTTTTTAAAAAAAAAAAGCTTGCTTTTTTTCTCCTTCTGAGTGGTGAGATATTATTTTCTGGATACTATATTTTAGTTTCTCAAATTAAAACATAATAATACAGTGACCCCGTCCGCTGGGTTGTTCAGAGACGGGATGTGATGTTATCTGACATTTTGGCCATTGAGATGTCTTGTTCTAGGCTGAGGATTTTAGGGGGAGATGATGCTCATCTATTATGCAGCATCTGTATGTCAGATACATTACTTTTTTCATCCAGAACAGAGTAGAACTCTATTATGGCCCTGGACTCTTTGCATCATTAACATTTGCTGTCTCCCCAGCTTGCCTTAACCATCCCTGTTCCCACAACTCCCACCCTTGAACAGCGCCTAGCATAATGCCCAGAAACCTACAGATGTCCCCCCTCGTTTAAAAAAAAGGAAAAGTGTTTCTTTAATGCATTGGGAAATCACTCAACATTTGCCTGTGTTTATTTGGCCACTAATACAACCCCATATCTTAAGATACTCTCTTCCCACTCCGATACCCCCATGGCCTCATGATAAAAGGTACCATTCATTCGACCTCTCAAGGCTGGCAAAGAAGGAATCCTGGGGTATAGAAACTGATTTTGACTCCTCTCTGAGCACTCCTCCTTGCTGACCACTCAGGAATTTTTTTTCCTGGCTTTTGACCCTCCCCTCTTCTTTCTTTTGATAAATCAGACAGCTGTCCCCAAAGGGATTGCATCCATTACCTTTCACTAGAGTTGAGTTCACTTTCCGTTGCATGTTTCTGTTTAAAAAGAAAGCCTTTTAAAAGGGTCGAGCATACACTGAGTGTGTACTTAATTTTTAATATGTGTGTGCCCACAGCCAAGAGAACAGAAGAGAAGCCTTAAATAACAATGAGACTGAATAGTACATGTGTGTTTTATGTGGCACTGATTCCTAAATATATATATTCTTAGCAGCCAGGTATTATTTAATACATCCCCATTAGTCAAGATGCCAAATCTAAATGAAAACCATGTTTAAATATATTTAATAATATTATGGCTTTTGGTTGACTGTCAAACTAACATAACTGTATGTTTTCCCCAAGCCAACCCTCAGTCACTGTCTTACATTTTTACTCTGAGCGCTAGTTCTTTTGTGCTATCAAGCCAATTTTGATCATAAAACAATATATACCACAGACTTTCAGCATCGTTTTCACTGGGCCCTTAAATGTAAATGTTTTAGAAAGAGAACAACCCTGAGTTGTTTTTTTTTTTTTTTTTTTCTGGCCGAAAAACGAAATGTCTCTTCTTCGTGGGGTGAGCCCCTGGATTTAAAAGGAAATTAATAAATGTCTTAGAGATACTAAATTGTTTGTAGTTTCTGTAACAAATGGTGTCTGCCTTTTGAGTTGTTATTGCTTTTAGTGTTTTGTACTAAATGTACTATGTTCATTATTTTTTCTTGCGATGATTCAGACTTCTGTTAGTTTTGCAATAGCGCCACCTAGGGGTTCTGGGGAACATTGAATGTGCTGCTAAAATGTTCTCAGTACCTTTTTAAAAAGCAATGCCCCTGCTCTTTGAGATGCACTGACAAAAGGCTTGTGGGTCTTGGGGTTGAAGAAGAGAGAAGGCAGTAGTAGCCTGACGAGATAGGTTGCTAGTTCCACCCACCAGGTTTCCAATCTGGCGGCAAACCAAAAAGAGCTATAACTAAAAAGAGTTCTTTTTATAAAGAACTAGCCAAACTTGGAGTAAAATATTCTGTTCTAGCAGATATTTTTAAACTATTAATAAAACATCATTGCATTTATTTAACATGTTTAACTCTTGTTCTTGTTTTCAGTAGTTTTCTTGCTGTTTTCATCCTCCTGATAGGCATTTCCTGTAGAGATTGCAGTGAAATGATTCTTGCATGTGGTGCTTTGATTTGCTCTCTTGTAGTAATTACTTTCCTCTCACATCTCCAAATGTTCTCCTGTTTTCTCTCTTCATTGTTCTCTGTATTAGTCCTTACAAAGTTTTACTTCAGCCTATTTATTCTTTCCACTAATGTTTCGTTATCGTTTCTTCTAGTTTCTGGGTTCTTACATGGT